AAACACACTATGAAAACACAGAGTGTGAGCAGTTGAATATTATGAGAAAAGAGTGAAGAAATAGGTATGAGACAACCAGCTAGTTCTCCTGCTTCTTTCCATGGTTGGCTTATGTGAATCATTTCCGGGCCTATTTAACTGGAGAAATCGAAGAAGACACTCTAAAACAAATTTAATATTGCTCGAAATTTTCGGTGAATAATCGTCACGCATTAGAGTGTTTGCATAAATACACAAAACTGTTTGTCGCTGAAGCTTGCTTCAAGGGTCGTCAAAACTGTGATTTCCGGACTTAGTTTCACGTTACCTTCTTTACCAAATAATCAATCCAAAAGATTCCAACCCACAACCAATGTATTCATCTCGGTTGCTCCTCAATCTCACCCACAAAGGACAAGATAATGGTGATGATATGTAAGCCATAGAGGCACGAGAAAAACAATGAAAGAGGACACAAAGAGGAGGCTAAATACACAAAGAAAGCCACCGTTTGTTTCTCTCCACTAAGGTAGTAGTTTTTCCATCAAGAAGGCGGTCACGTTCTCTCAATTGTATACACAAAATCACACAATTTTCGGCTAGGGTAAGGACACCATAAATATAGGCTAGATTAGATTTTAGTTGGACCAATAAGAGGCTTAAATGTGACAAGATTCAAAGCCATCCAGAGGTAATATATAAGCCATGAGCAATTCTTTAACCTACTTCCAATGGCCCACGTTGTTTACAGGTCAAGCCTTTGGACTTCGTTGTTGGTAACAATTTAATCCAATGTTTACATCATAGCTCTGGATTCATCGAGTATCAAAGCCCAACAAATCTTGACCTTGATACCCAATTAACCTACAAGAAATCAAAACATAAAGTTAAACGCTTACATAATCAATGTAACTAATAAAATTGGAATAACAGACTTTACCTCGTGTTTCAGACCCAAAACACGTACTATAGGTGCTCCGTGTACTCACTAGGGCTAAGGTCGAATAACACCCAAGTAAAAACAGATAATAAGGGTAAACAATCGAGAGCAAATAATCATGCGATGAAGATATAACATAGGATAATCTACAAATCTTTTCCAAAATACGTTCACACAGAACAGAAAATTAATATTAAGTCAATCAATCAAACGGTCAAACACGTATGCAACAAATGCATAAATGAACCCCCGAAAAGATCTCACCACACTTATCATATCCCATTCCGTGTTGCTTACACCTCGAAAACACATATCTCGTCTCATCGCCCACCATACTCACTAGATAGATCACTCAACTCATGTCTAACTTGTAAACCTCTATAGATCCTAAGTCCTTGAGATAATCTTCTATTACCACATCACTTCTTCCAATCTAAGTGGATAATGGGTCTCCACCTAACAAGTGTCTCTCTCACATTTAATCACCTCTCCACTTGCGATCCAAATGTCACACTCCACATCCCCAGTACTAACCACCAATGCACCCCTAGGCATATATACTACATCTCACCAATAGACATACAACGCACTGCTAATGTATCTTAACCTACTATGCAAGCAAACAATTACACCGATTAATTAAATTGCTCTCAAATTCATGCAAATGCACATATCAAACACACATTAAAATGCACATATAACCATGCAACAGAATTAAGTAATCATACACATGCAAAAAGGATTACACACGGATGCACATACAGTAACTAAGTTTACCACTCGACCATATAACCACGTTCACATCACCTCTCATACTATCTTTCTGCTTATCCTTCTTCTTGGAACAATCCTCACAAAGTATCCAGACTTACCACAATTGTAACACTTCTTACCACCAGACTTGTCCCATCACTTGTCTTTCTTCTTCCACCTTCACTACTCGAATTATTACCGTTTTGAGATCTATCCAAATTCATCTGTTTAAATTTCATTCTATTTCTCATCATATTAAACTCACCACTCCTCTTATCATCTTTTACAGCCTTAATCTCCATATCTTTACTTTTAAGAGAATCAATAACAATCTCAGATATCAAAGTGTTCATACCATACTTAATCGCATTCTTAACCTCTCTATATGAATCGACATAGAATTAAGAAAAATGATAGCCTTATAATTTTTAGACACCTTCTCATTACAATTAACGATATCTTGAACAAGTTTGTTAAAAATATCCAGATTATCATCAAGATCATTTGAATGATCCATTTTAAAACTAATTTTTTTTGTAGAATTAAGTTTTCCAACTTTTCTCAAAACAATGTTAGATAGGTGTAAAATAACTGAGGTGTAAGGAAGTTTATCATATTCTTCTTTTTGTTTTTCTGTCAAAGTTTCAGGAAATTTGTCATCTATTGCTTTTGAAACTTTTTGTTGAACCAAATTCCCTTCATTTTTTGTTGTCAAATTGAAAAATCAACTTTTCCATTGAAAATTTCAACTTCGAAATGTAAAGACATTTTATAAAAACAGAACAACCAAAATGCACAAATAGGTCTCAAAAAGTAATCCGAAGGCCACAAAAATTCAAATTTTCATGCAAGCAGTCTCGCACCTAAACAACAGTTAAAGCACAAAAACAATTACCAATTTACAGTCAAAACTCAACACTTCAAATATGAAAATAATTCCAAAATTTATAGCACAAGCAATGTTACCCTACACAGTAATCTCAATCATAATGTTACCTCACACGATGATGCGCTAACACTAAAATTTAAATTGGGATAAGCCAATATACCAGAGCGGACCAATCTGAGTCCGTAAATATTGGGAGATGTGGGCCACCACTATTTGCCATGAAGTCTCTAGCAATTGCAGGAATCAATTAACCACGATCGAATCTCAAACGCACAAAGGGAAAAATTGTCCAGATTTTACTCTATCAACTTGAAACAAAAAACTAATACCGCCTCAAACTTTCTTCAAACGCCGTCGTCGAAAACAACCTCATGCACCCACATGCGTCGCACCGGAGCCGCCACGTGCCATGGAACACCTTATACGTCTACCGTACAGCTATGCCTCCACATGCACGTCTCGAATATGGCCTCCGTTTCACCACCAGATCTCTAGATTGACCGAAAATCACAAAAACAGGTTCGATTTTTAGGTAGTTTTCGATCTTTTTTTTTTTTGCTTTGTTTCTACTGCTTTTCTGACAGATTTTTGGTTAATTTCGAGCCAAATCTACCATCTTGAAGCTCTGATACAAAATTTCTGGAAGCTTGCTCTAAGGGTCGTCAAAACGGAGATTTCCAGGCTCTGTTTCACATTACATTTCTTTACCAAACAGCCAGTGCAAACGGTTCCAACCCACGACCAATATATTCACCTCGACTGCTCCTCAATATCACTCACAAATGACAAGATAATGGTGATGATTTATAAGCTACAAAGGCACGAGAAAAACAATGGAAGAAGACACAAAGAGGAGGTCAAATACACAAAGAAATCAACCAATTTTTCTCTCCACTAAGGCAGTCGTTTTTCCAGTAAGAAGGTAGCCACATTTTTTTCTCAATTGTATACACAAATCACACACTTTTTGGCTAGTAAGGACACCATATATATAGGCTAGGATATGCTTTAGTTGAACAAATAAGAGGCTTAAATAGGCTAAGATTTAAAGTCATCCAAGAGGTAATATATATAGGTTGTGAGCAACATTAATTCTTTAATCTAAGTCCAACAGTCCACACTGTTTTCGGGTCGAGCTTTTGGACTTGATTGTTGGTAACAATTTAATCTAGCGTTTAAATCATAACCCATAATTCATTAGGTATCAAAATCCAACATTGTTCAATAGAAAAATACAGAATATGTAAAAAAGCAGTAAAGATAGGGTTCTAAAATGAACTTTTTGAATTGGGACATTTCATTGAAACTTCCATGCAGACAACGAACTATGAGATGTTCCCTTCCAACCAATAGTAAAGCATTTTTCATCCATATCCAAAGTGGAGAAGTTTCCACAGGTGAAGAAAGCACCAGATTGGGATGATATGTAGATGGCATGCCAAGTTCTATCTCCTTAGGCCCAAAACGTGCAAAAAATGACTAAATTTTGTGTATCCTTAGGAGTTAGCATACGAGACTTTTGGAGTGCTCTCCTCGATAGTTCAATTGATCTAAAGGTATTACTGTGTCTTCTCGTAGCCCGCAAAACATTTTAATTCTCAACTGAAAACTTCTTACCCCTTGTAGGTGCCCAATGAGGGCCACAAAGGCCCAATGCCGCGCTATGAGTTCCGACCCCATATGGCTACTTAAACCATGCCAGGAATGTAGCCCTTAGGTTCCTCACTAACTCATAATGGTAGCCATTTTGTGCATGTCGATAGCCCGCAAACTACCCTTCAGTGAGGACGAAATCACAGGGACCCTTGACGCCAAACTTGACAACTTTTATTCAATTGACATGATTATATGTCTTTTGATCAAAGAATCATAATTATTTATAACTTGCGCTTTCGATCTCCAAATGACACTCTGTTTGATCCATAGCGAAATTTTGGATGATCATTGAACTGAAACATAGTGCATGGATACTCAGTGCAGCGAAACAATATTGCAGGGCATGAAACAAGTGTAGAAATTAAGAAATGAAGAAAATTACATTAAAAAGTTTATTCTAGGGATACCTAGGACCCAATTTTTTTTTTATATATTTTGTTACTTTTCTCCCTTCTCGTTTTGTTATTCTATTCCCATGAAATTTTACAATTCTGGGAGTCAAAGTCAAGTCCACAAGGACTTCAACTACCCAACGTTACCGACGGGATCGCACTCGTGACATTGTAGGGACTGTACTCTACGAAATTGTAGAAGAAAGATAACACAACCAATACAATGTTAGCAAGCCGACAAATCCTTGTATCAATGACGTGTCACATTTCAAATTCTCTCTCTTACTCCTAAAAGTCCAAATATCTGCTCTATAATTCCATTTGATTATTAGATAATCAACAAAATCCATATTCTTCCTCGTTGGTGCCAATAATCTGCTGCGGTGGATCGATGGCGGAGGATAAGTACAATCGGAAAAACCCAGCGGTGAAGAGGATATTGCAGGAAGTCAGAGAGATGCAATCTAATCCTTCCGAAGATTTCATGAGCCTCCCTCTCGAGGTAATTTTTCTAATTAAAAAGAATTTTCAATTATATTTGATGAGTTTCTTATAACTTCTGTTCTTACTTCCCATACCGTTCATCTATTTATTGCTGTTCGACACTTTTTGTTTGCCTGGATTTGTATCTTAATCATGAGATATTGGTTGTTGAATTATTAGGAATTATGTTAGAAACATGGTTGGCAAATTTCTTTTTCCGGTGATGTCGACTATGTATATGACTGAGATTTAATTGTGTTAGTACAAAAGGAATTTTTTGACCAAACTGATCGTTTTGACTCTCTCTTTTTTGCAGACGAGAGATTTATTTATTTTTCCTTCATAATTTGAAGTCACATAGATTTCATTAAATTTTCATCATCTTTTTTACTGCAGGATTAACATACAACTTGACATAATTCTCCATTCTCTATTAAGCTAATTTAATGCATAGCCATTAATCTTTTTCATTCTCAATATTGTGTTTTTTTGTGCTATCAGAATGAACTCAGGCTTTAAAATATGCTTTCAGGAGAATATATTTGAATGGCAATTTGCCATCAGGGGGCCACAGGACTCCGAATTTGAGGGAGGAATCTATCATGGAAGAATCCAACTTCCATCTGATTACCCTTTCAAGCCACCTTCATTTATGTTGTTGACGGTAGTCTATCGACTCCTTGGGAAGATCATACTTTGTACTTAACATTGTTACCCAATTTATGTGAGCATTTTCTAATGTAATCAAAATATCATTTTA